ACTACTTTAGTTATATTTATTTCATCACGTTGGATTGTATTCAAATAATTTTTATTTGATTGTTTTTATAAGTTTCAATTGTAAAATTACAATGAATAATAATTTGATGATGTGTTAATATTTTAGTACTTGATTATTTGCTAAAATTTAACCATAATAAAATTATATAACAATTTTTTATTAGTCCTGCGGGGGAAGCGGGACGGGGGCGGGGGCTGGGGCGGGGGAAGTTTGTAGGCAGCGGGGCGGGGGACGGGGGAGGGGTCCCCTGCCCCATTGCCATCCCTAATCTTAGTGGGCATACATAGACATAAATGGAAGTTAGAACTTGGATTAGATCTTTTTAATCGTTAGGCCTTTTTGGTGCTTTTGTGCTTGTTAGTTAGGAATAATGTCGATGCCAACATATCACCGTCATTTTGTTCGAAGACTCTAGTAACGAGTATTCCTGAACTGCATGAACACGAAACTTGTTGAGATAGAAATATATAATCGACATAAAGCAAAAAAAAAAAAAAAAAAAAAGGAAAGGAAAGACTTCTGGGTCGTTCGAGTATTTATGGTAAATATAAATAACTATGTTTGGATAGAGATTATTTGAAATATTATTTAGAATGACTATTATAATGCATTTTGTAATATAATGTATGTGAAATATAAAAATAATTAAAAAGTACCAACCATGCCAAATGAGCACCGGGTAGGGAAGAGGGAGGGAGCCTAAAATTTGTTAAAGAAAGCTGCCCGCTTGCCAATAATAGTATGCACAACACAATGCAATATGACTGGTGGAGAATGAGGCATAGACTTAGATCAATTTTTGAAAAAAAAAAAATTGTGTGTGTGAATTTCGTCCGTGGATAATATAAAAATTGTATAATCAGTGGGTGATTTATGAGTACTTCTATAAACGAACTTGTACTAATGATTGAAATAGAGATCGAAATTGAAGCTGAAACCCCTCTTTAACTTTTTGCTATTTTTCTTCGAATATATATATATACTCCTCCGAGCGACTTCTGGACTTTCAGAGTCGTGTACTTGTACGTTACATCAAAAAGACGAGTGCAACTGAAATTTGTGGTTCCCGAACTTACAAGCTCTGAATCCATCCCAGATTACGTACGGGGAAAAACAAATAATGCCGCCCAATTGTGCATGTACTATTTAAAAAGAATAGTAGTGTCTTATTGTCTTCATTAGCAGTCGTGAGGTACGTAAATATCTTATTGCAGCACCTTGACCCAAAATGGAAATTAGGAAAATGTAAGCATCAGAACACCAGTTCTGCTGATGCAACTGCAACGAATACAATCGGTGGATTGGATCAGTCCAGGCCGGAAGAACCGACTTTTGTATAAATTAACTAAAAACACATAAATCTACGCATCATCTTTGTCTTTGTAGTCCTTGGTGCCAACCTTCAACATCTTTGTTATTACCACCAATCTATGCAACTGAAAAAACAAGCAAATTAAGCAGAATGAAGATACTAATGTTGCCATGGTTAGCTCATGGTCACATGTCCCCTTTCTTAGAGCTAGCCAAGAGACTAGCAAAGAAAAACTTCCACATCTACTTGTGTTCCACCACTGTGAATCTCAGCTCCATCAAGAACCAAATTACTGGAAAATATTCCGATTCTATAGAACCAGTTGAGTTACAACTTCCATGCTTGCCTGACCTTCCTCCTCATTACCACACCACCAATGGCCTCCCACCCCATCTCATGACCACCCTCAAAACAGCCTATGAAATGTCAGCTCCCAACTTTTCTAATATCCTCACCACTCTGCATCCTGACTTGGTTATGTACGACTTCAATCAGCCTTGGGCAGCAGAAATTGCTTCTTCTCAAAATATCCCAGCTGTTCAATTTCTCCCGTTTGGAGCATCAATGACTGCTTTCGGTCTATACATGATCAAATATCCAGGAAAAGAACTCCCCTACCCAGAAATTTATATCCGGGACTATGAGATAGTCAAGGTTCGGTCAAGGGACGCTCGAGTTAATGATGTTAGTGATGGACAAAGATTCCTACAAGGTCTGGACCTGTCGTGTAAGATTTTGTTGGTTAAGTCATTCAAAGAAATTGAAGAAAGATTCATGGATTTTCTCTCTGTTGCATCTGGTAAAAAGGTGGTCCCCGTTGGCCCTCTTGTCCAAGACATCAGTCTTGGTGACATTCAAGATGAGGAAATGGAAATCATTAATTGGCTTGACCAAAAGGAAAACGCTTCAGTGGTGTTTGTCTCTTTTGGCAGTGAGTATTTCTTGACTGAGGACGAAAGAAGCGAAATTGCTCGTGGTCTTGAGCTCAGCAATGTTAACTTTATATGGGTTATTAGGTTCCCTTTCGGAGGGAAAATAACTGTGGAAAAAGCATTACCCGAAGGGTTTCTTGAGAGAGTGGGAGATAGAGGAAAATTTGTGGATGGATGGGCTCCTCAGGCAAGAATTTTGAAGCATGCGAATACTGGTGCTTTTTTGAGCCATTGTGGATGGAGTTCTATGATGGAGAGTATGAAATTTGGTGTTCCAATGATAGCTCTGCCTATGCATATTGACCAACCTTTGAATGCTAGATTGATTGAAGCAGTCGGAGTGGGATTGGAACCCTTGCGAGACGAGAAGGGAAATCTTCAAAGTGAGGAGATTGCCAAAGTGATCAGAAAGGTTTTGGTGGAGGAAAGTGGAAAAAATGTGAGGAGGAAAGCTAAGGAATTGAGTGAACAAATGGGAATGAGAGGTGACAAGGAAGAGATTGATAACCTTGTCGAGGAGGTAGTACAACTTTGCCAAAAGAATAACGGGTGCTGTTAAATCTTTTGATTGTTCTTCCGGGTTAAGGAAGATGATTTGTTCGTTAATTTGCTGGATGTTATTCTAATTAGTCTCCATTTTATAAGTAATTTGGTTGATTGATTGTATGACCATATCGTTCACGTTCACTATGCTATATTTCCAATGAGCTCTTCACTATTTTCATCTCTTAGAGAAGGTTTCGAGCACATACATTTCTTGGAAAATCCATCATTTAATCTGCTCCATTACAAAAGGAGTACTAGACTAAGTGAAACCATAATATTCTCAAACCCTGAGTCAACTAGAAGCTAGAGATACCATCGAAGTAAGCATGAAATTCTTTGTTCTGACTTTCATTTCATGCACTCCTGTTTTCCCCCTTTTCTTTGTCAAGCTTTGATTCTCCTTCAAACCCAAAAAAAAAAAAAAAAGGTGAGGATCATGGGCATACACAATGTCCTAATCCATGACTTGGTACTTCTATTGCCTGTTTTAGCGTCCGTAGTTCTTGACTCATTCGACGTCTCTTATGATTTGTCAACATTCACCTCTGCATGACCGGTGGCAGGAAATCGTGAGGCTTTACGTTAAGCAAGTCTAGTTACAATTTAAAATTAATGGCTCAAAATAGCCGTGCTAATGTGGTACATAAATAAAAAATAGGGTCCGTCTCATGTTAAGATATATTTTATGTGTCATATTTTTTAAAATGTAAGATTAATTAGAGAAAGTAAATAAATATAAGAGAGAATAATAATTGTAATATGTGTAATTATGTGACTTTTAGATGTGTTAACAAGTATCCAGCTAAATAAATTGAATAACCCAAAAAAAAAATGAATTATAAGTATAATGAATCGAATAACTCAAATAGCAGGCTTGAGCTACTATGGCACAGATGCAGGCAATCCATTGAACTCTGCAATTGTGAGGCCCTTCATCCATGTAAGAAAGATACATCAGTTTTTTGGGTAAAGTGCAAAAAAATCCCCTATGATTAAGCTAATTTACGAAAAAGTCTCTTATAGTTTCAAATCATATATTTTGATTTCTCACTGTTTGAACTAATTTAAACCGCAACAAAAATCATCAAAACTATCGAAAACATATGAAATAACACAATTACCCTAATACATATAAGCAATAAAAAACCTTCTAACAACCATCCTATTAAGCAAACTTACGGAAAAATTCCCTATAGTTAAGCCAACACATGGAAAAGCCCCCTAGGGTTATATGTTACTTTTATTTATTTATTTTGTGCATAGGAATAAGGTAAGTTATATTTGAAAGTATTTATTTATTTATTTTATGTATAGAAATAAGATGAGTTGTATTTGGGAGTTTTGGGTTATTTTTTTTGAAATTTTATGAGTTCTAAGGGGTTTAATCGGTATATCAGCTAAAAATTTGAATTAAAAAATTATTTTCAATGTCAAGCAACCTCAAACTCGTTAATTTAAATGATTTCTGTCGATTTCACATTAGTTCAAACCATGAGGTACTGGATTGCATGATTTGAAATTGTAAAGGACTTTTTCTATAGGTTTGCTTAGTCACAAGAGGCTTTTCTGTATTATAACTCTAAAGGTGTAATAGGTATATCAACTAAAAATTTATTTGTTTGTAGTACAAATATTCATAAAAGAACCGTGTGTATTTCAAACCCATTAATTCAGACGATTTTTATTGCATTTATAAATTAGTTCAAACCATGAGGTACTGGAGTGTATGTTTTGAAATTATAGGAGATTTTTCTGTATATTCACTTAACCTCAAGAGATTTTTCTATATTTTACCCCAGTTTTTTTTGTAGTTGAGAAAGTCACAAGTAGGGTGCAAGAGAATCAAGCTCCTCGACTTGAACTCACAGGTAGTTGGATCAACTACTGGACTCGAGTTTTCTGTTGATCGAACTTGAGTCGAGTTTGAGCTACTCATTTATGTATTCTATTAGAGCTCGAGCAGAAAAATAGGAGTTCGATTGCTCGATGTGCTCAATCGAGCATTGCCTTCTTACCATGTATATATAGGTATCAGCTTTGTTGAGAATTACATGAAGATTTTTCTCCATATAGACAAAAGGGAACTAATTAAGCCAAATTACAGAGACAAGCTTTCCATGCAAACTACGGCCATGCAATTGCAAGCTAGTAGTACAGAATAAGTCAGTAGCACTTCTCAAAGGGTTCTCATGTTACCGTTTTTGGCGCATGGTCACATATCTCCATTCCTGGAGCTAGCCAGGAAACTCACCGATAGAGGAATTCACATCTGTCTTTGTTCTACAGCCATCAATTTAAGTTCCATTTCCAAGGAAATCAAGGGCAACTACTCTCAATCCATTCGACTCGTGGAGTTTCATCTTCCAGAATTGCGTGAACTTCCTCCTCACTACCACACAACCAATGGCCTCCCAGCTCATCTCCAACCAGTCCTCTTCGAAGCCCTGAAATTGTCCAACTCTGAGATACACAACATCATAAAATCTCTGAAGCTAGACTTGGTGATCTACGATACAATACTATCTTGGCTTTCAGTAACTCCTTTAAGCACTTTTCCATCGGTTTGGTTCCAAATTACGAGCGCAGCCTTCTTGTCATACACACTTCATTTGTTAGTCAACTCCTGCTCAGAATATCCCTTTCCAGCCATTTATTTTTGGGATTTTGAGTTTCACAAACTTCTTGCTGCCACTGGAGATAAAACTCCGGTTGCTGGTGAAGTTTGCTCCTTTCCTATGCTGGTTAATACTAGTAGAGCGATGGAAGGGAAATCCTTGGACCACATTGCTGGTTTGACCAACATGAAGACTAATTCCCACTGGTCCTATTGCTGCTGCTGAATTAGGTGAGGAGGATATCGAGCTCATGAATTGGCTTGGACAGAAGGATGTAAATTCAACTGTGTTTACTTCCTTTGGCACTATGTATTTCCCAAGTGAGGAAGAGATCAAAGAGATTGCTCACGGATTGGAGCTGAGCAATGTAAATTTCATCTGGGCTTTAAGATCTCCAGACGGTGACGAAAGTAGACTTGAAGAGATTCTACCAACGGGATTTCTTGAGAGAGTGAGAGGTAGAGGGAGAATTGTTCAAGGATGGGCGCCGCAGGCAATGATTCTTGGCCATTCGAGCATTGGTGGATTTTTATCCCACTGTGGTTGGATATCTTTATCCGAAGGCATAGAATTTGGTGTTCCGATAATAGCAATGCCTATGAATTTGGAACAGCCCCTTAATGGAAGGGTGTTGGTGGAAAATGGTGTGGCTGTGGAAGTCATGAGAGATGAAAATGGTAGACTCAAGGGGGCAGAGATAGCAAAAATGATCAACCATGTGGTAATTGGGGGTGCAGGGGAAACCATGAGGCAGAAAATGAAAGATTTGAGGAAGAAGATCAAATCAAGTGAAGAAGACAATCTGGATGAACTTTTAACATTGATCGCCCAACTTTCTAAGAAAAACTCAGGTCAAGATCCCAATATTGCAGGAGGACTTGGGACTTAAAACTGGACTTCTCCGAAGGCGTTCCTCAGCTGGTGTTCAGGGGTTTATTGAGTAATCGAGATATGTGGTATGCGCTAAAATAAATGAGGGTTTAGAGATATTGATAGTGTCTCTACTACTCTAATAATGTAATCTTTCAATCCAATGAATCAGCATATAATTCCGAGCTTAGACAGGAAAGGCAATGAAATATTGTAGTGTTGTGAAGATTCAAATTACTAACGTGTAATAATCGTAAGAGCAAAAGAAAATTGCAGCATTCAATTGAAGAGAAAAACCATATACTAATTGGTTTAGAAGGGACGGAATACAATTGGTATTATTGGATATGGTTTGCTAATTGTGACATTTTTTATTTGGGATTATAAGAAAGTCTCAAGACAATGACCAAAACAGCAGTCCCCTGGCTGTTATGTGCCGGTCGGTATTTCCATCAAACAACAAAATCAGACGGCATGGTTGAATGAATTCCTGGTACCAATCATTGTTTCAAGTCGTTTCGTGGAAAACTAGACCCTGCACCGTGATTCCGGCAACTCCCACGTACCCAACTTGACCAATGTGCTTTTTTTGTCTTCCATATAGTACTATAAAATATTGATAGGGTGCCCATGTTTATGGTTTTTCGTCTATGAATTTGTTTGTAATCTACTCATACAGTCCAAATTAATGAAATTCTTAGGAAAAATCTCCACATGGCCTTTTCAGTTGCAAAAGAACAGTTTTCTTTGCTATACGCCAGGAGTCCACGTGAACTGCAAGTCCCAAATATACAGGGCAAAGGTGATTAATTTTGTTCAAATCTCATTTCGTCCTGGTGTAGGTGGATTTATTCATAATTTGTTAATTCTTGCTGCCGACCAATGGATCTTTCAATTAGCAAGGTCGAAGGTCAAGCATATGAGTATTTGACAGATAACAGCAAACTCGGTTAGAAAATTCAGACCCCTGTCTTTCTAGATATCGTTTAAAATTCCCTTTCAAGACTAAAACCTTTGCCCATCCCCCACTTCCATTTTCCCCTCCCAAAAACCAAAGCACTCAACGCCAAGACACAAAGCACTTACAGAAAACAGAGGATTTATGGGCACAGAACCAGTTGCTGTTACTTCTCAGGTCAAGGTTCTCATGTTTCCATGGCTGGCTTATGGCCATATATCTCCCAGCCTGGAACTAGCCAAGAGGCTAACGGATAGAGGATTTGCCATATACATCTGTTCAACTCCTATCAATCTTGGATTCATCAAGCAAAAGATCACCGGAAAATACTCTGCCACTATTAAACCAGTGGAACTTCATCTTCCAGACACTCCTGAACTCCCTTCTCACTACCACACCACCAATGGTCTCCCACCCCATCTCATGTCCACCCTGAAAAGAGCCCTGAACAGAGCCAAACCGGAACTGTCCAGTATCTTGAAGACTCTGAAGCCTGATTTGGTGATCTACGATGTCACCCAGACGTGGACCGGTGCATTGACTGCAGCCCATAACATTCCAGCAGTTAAATTTTTAACTTCAACTGTGTCCATGATGGCATACTTCTCCCATTCGTTTATGAAACCGGACCTTGAATTCCCTTTTCCAGCCATCTATCTGTCCGATCCCGAGTGGACCAAGTTTCGGATAACAGCCCAAGAGGCAAGAGCTGATTATGAAGAAAGTGATCCTGCGGCGGAAAGGCCAAACCGAGATTGTGACCGCATCTTCCTCACAAAAAGCTCGAGAGCAATAGAAGGGAAATATATAGATTATCTGTTTGATCTTACGAAGCTGAAGATGTTGCCTGTAGGTACCCTGTTAGAAGAACCTATTAAGGATGATCAAGGCGATAACAACGACGAGTTAATCCAATGGCTTGGGACAAAGAGCGAGCGGTCCACTGTTTTTGTTTCGTTTGGGACCGAGTATTTCTTGACTAAAGAAGAGATGGAAGAGATAGCATACGGGTTGGAGCTTAGCGATGTCAATTTCATATGGGTTGTAAGATTTCCTCTGGGTCACAAAACAGGGCCTGAAGAGGCTCTTCCTGAGGGGTTCTTGGAGAGGGTGGGAGATAGGGGAAGAATTGTGGAAGGATGGGCACCACAGGCAAAAGTATTGGCACATCCAGGTACAGCAGGTTTTGTTTGTCACTGTGGTTGGAATTCGGTTGTGGAAAGTATAGAGTTTGGTGTTCCAATTATAGCCATGCCCGTACAGCTTGACCAGCCACTCAATGCCAGGTTGGTGGTGGAAATTGGTGCAGGCATGGAAGTTGTGAGAGATGAGAATGGCAAGTTTGATAGAAAGGAGATAGCAAGAGTAATCAAAGATGTGGTGGCGGAGAAGATGGGTGAAAATGTGAGAGGGAAAATGCTTCCAGAAAATAAAATTGAAGGAGAAACAGGAGTTGGATGAAGTTGCGGAATTGCTAACTCAGCTTGTGAAGGAAAATAGTCAGTCTTCGAATTGATTTTACTAGTACTTTTCTGGAAATATTTGAACTGCTCTATGAATTCCAAAATATGAAATAAAAAATACTGCTCTATGGAATTTTTAGAGTTTGTTCCTTTCTCTCCCTTTTCATTTTTCATTTTTCTTGGGGCGTGGGATAAGTTTAAAGTTGGGAATTGTAACCATCGATCATTTACTAACTCTGGGAAGTAATAGTACTACATTTGTTTGCTAGCCCATACAGTTTCATCTTTTGTGACAAATGCACGTGATTGGCTTCAAATTCTTGTACTATAGCTACTGCGTCTCTGGTTATTAATTTGAGTTCTACTGATCTCAATATTTTAGTGATACTCTATATTCAAAGCGCGGAACATCAACTCTCTCGCACCTCCCAGGACAAGAAAAATGACAAATCCTTTTTTTCCTTTTTGTTTCGTCTTCAAAAAAAAAAAAAAATTTTAGAGTAACTTAATTGGAAGTTGTTGATAGGAAGTCGGTACTAAGGGTAGATATGGCATTCGGTCTCCGAAAGCTCCCACTAAGAGGAGACTTCATCCAAGTAACATCCACGTTATTACATTTGTTTTTCGGTCAATCGATCAAATCCTACTCCTATTCCTATTTTAATTTACGTTCAAAAGGATTCAACTAAGTCAATGGGATTAGAAGAGTAAACTAACACTACCTCTAAACTAAATGAGTGCACTACTGCACACTTTTTAAATTTTATCATAGGTTTAGAGATTTGAACTCTTAATTTGTAGTCAGATCAATATCTTATACTTGACGTTGACATTATTACAAGGAAAAGAAGATATGCCATTATTCTACTTTCCTTTCTTCCCAAAAAACATAGACTATCTTTGAAACACTTAGTGATGACATGGTGTCACGAAGGGTGGAAAAAAAACGCCATTCCACTAGTGTAGTTTCAAATGTTTATGAAATTTTCAAAAGAAAAGCATGACATAATAAAGCACGAGAAGAAAGTAGTACTTTGAAGAAATCGGTCCAAAATGTGCACCTTCTATTTTCCCTATTTCTGCTTGCCATAAATTTGAATAGTTTTTTTGTCAAATTCTTGATTGTACCAGTATACGGGGCTTATAGAATTTGCCGACGGTCTTCGTCTAGGAAATTCCACCTTCATCTGAAAAGTGAAAGCGATGTCGCCCTACTCTGTCGCCTTCACCCAGAAACGTATGCGGCAGCAATTTGCGACTCTTCCTTTTACCTGGACGTTGTGGACTCGATTCCGTTATTTGTCCATTACTCATAATAAACAAATACTTTGATGAACGTGCCATATTGTCATACCATTTTTTTTAAAAAAATCTTTTATTATAAGTAAAATGCGTTGTTTAGTCCCTGCATGATTTTTCTCCTCAAAGTCTTGACAAAAGTAAATATGGATCTCAATGTTTAGTCACTAAAGTTTTGATAAGAACAAATTTGATCCAATTTAAAACAGATTCAGGACATTTGGAGAATTTTTTTCAATTACCGATAGAATTTAGCAACGTCTAGTCATGTATGTGTCCACTAAATTAAGTTTCAAAATAAAAATGTAAAATAGTAGCTAGTTTTAAATAACAAATTTAAGAACTAATAACTCACTTGCTAACTAATTGATCAGTAAAAATAAAAAGAACGAAAATTTTAAACTAAAACTCCTAGAACTAGTCGAATCATCAATTCATCGACAAACTAGAACTCTCAATCTATTAAATTGGTGGAATTCATCAGCGAAACTTGGCTGAATTGCCACCTTACCAATCACACACAACCTTTTTACTACGTCATCTCTTTTTTTTTTTTGGTATAATCCACAGGTGTCCGCATCCGTTTTACGGTCTGCGACTAATCCTGTTCGAGCCGGGTCAGGTCCCATAGGGGGTAACTCTCCCAACGTCATTTTTTCCATTCCTATGGGTTTCGAACCCGACTACGTCATCTCTTTTACTATCCTCATGAAGGCCCTTAAATTGTCCCAACCTCAAATGGACAGCGTTATATATACAGGCTCTAAAGCCTGATTTGGTGATGTGCAATTTTGCGTTAACTACTATCGGAATAATACCTTCTCCCAACATTCCATCGGTTAAATTTTAGCATTTTCAATGCAAGTCTTATCATAAATTCTGTCCCATATATATATATATATGTATGTATATCTCTGGATCATTTCGCTACTTCTATCAACTACCCCAAAAAAAAAATGCACGTTCAACTGTTTTTGTTTCTTTTGGCAGTGAATGTGTTTTGCATAAGGAAGAGATCAAGAGATTGCTTTAGGATTGGAGCTTAGTAATGCTAACTTTATTTGGGTCCTAAAGTTTCCAAAAGGATAGGAACTATCAAGTGGAATTAATATGATTTTACCTGAGGGATTGATTTCTTGAGAGAGTGAAGGATGGAGGGAGAATTGTTCAAGGATCCGATGCTAGGTTGATGGTGGATACTGGAGTTGCTGCAGAAGTTACTTATGAGAGATGAAAAATCAAAATTTCAAAGGGCCAGAGATGGCAGAAGTGATTAAGGAAGATGCGGTATTTCGCGAGATGCAAGGAAAGTAACGAGGGAGAAAACGAAAGATATGAATAAGA